TATATATTAACCCTTTCGCACCGACTGTCACATATACGTGCCAGCAAGAAACGCACTCACTTCCCAGCCGACACACCGGTGTGCCAGAGCGTTTTCTCGTTCACCCCCGGCGGTCACTCATTTGTGCCAGTGTCCTGGAACGTTTTAAAAAATTAAATTTCTGCCAGAAGATGGCATTGTATGTCCGTATGGTTTCAGATACATGTAGATTTGACCTTCTACTCAAAATGAGAGTAGTATAACTCACATAACACGTGGCTTTTAGGGGGAAGGAGTGGAGGAGAAAGAAAGGTTTTATGACGGCTCTTTAAATTCGCATGAGGTATTTGTTTACAGTAAGCTGGGGAGGTTTATTTTTTTCGCATTGGGTATTTCGATTTGCGGTCCAGTTTTTAGTGCTATGTTAGTGTTTTCAAATTTTTCATGCGACAAAAGAATTTTAAGTCATATATTTAGTTTTCAGATATTTAATGTTAAAAGTTATTAAATGGTAAGTATGAAAATAAAATGCGTAAAATATATATTTAAACGAGAAATAACTTAAGTAAATAAAGTATTTATAGAAATATATATAAAGCATATGCCATTTAATTACTCTGCAGAACATTATTAAACAACTCTTTGATATTTCGGTAATTTCATGGATTTAGGCTTAACAGCAAAGACCCTTCGGCCCTGGAGAGACACTTGCAAGAGAGACTGCCAGCCCGGCAATAAGCGTGCGTTTGCGCTTCCCGTCGCGAAAGGGTTAATGGAGTGAATATGAATCATTATATGAGATTCATGAATCGCTTAATTAAAAAACAATTTTTTACTGATGAATTTTGTTATATGTATATATAAAGATATGTAATTATTAAACTGTGCTAATTGTATATATTGCAGCATATAATTCAGAAAGCTCTTAACTATAAATTGTTCCATCAATACTAGTGAAACTTGTAAATTGGGTATGGTATTTATGAATTGCAGTGTACACTGCATTATTTGCAGAAAGCAAGAACATCGTAACCCTAGTCTAAAGAAATAAGAGGGCATAGTATTAGAGATAAGTATTTTGACATATCAGCTGAACAAATAAAAGGATTGTACGGGCAATACTTTTGTAAGTTTAAAGTAACTAAAATCTAATCCATTTAACTCTTCATCGCATTTTGTACAGTCTCCTCCCAGTAGTTGAGTCAATTTTTCTTGGTCAGGCACCAAAAAGTTTTCCGTAAATAAAAAGAATTAATTTGATTTAGTTTTCTTTTTTTTTCCTAATAAGGAAAACACACGTTTATGCCTTGAAAAGGCGTAGCAATTATATTTTATAACAGTGAAGAAAAATTTGTGTCATCACTTTATCCCATAGAGCTGTACAAAATGGATATAAGTTGGTTTTCAGAAAAATTTTCATGAATTGTGTGAATTAATATTAATAGTTCAAACATTTATTACAGTAACTTACTCTCTTAGATATATTCTCTTTGATTAGTATACTTCAGTTCCCCCCTCTCACTTTTCTCTGTCACTTTACCATGAAGCAGCAGGCAGAGCCGGATTATACCTTTCGTAGGCCCTAGGCATAGCCGTTTTTGGGCCCTCCCCTCCTTCCCCCACTCCTCCCCTCTTTTCAAAATATATGCTAAAATTTTCTTGCATATTTTTTTTTAACATTTTTAGTAGCGTAGCATACATAAGACAGCATAATACAAGATTTCGTTGAATCCAAAAATCGCAAAAAAGTAATATATTAGATCATAAGATTCTGCAAAATAATTTATTACCGAAAAATATTATATTTTTATTTGTAACTTCATAATTTTGTGCAAAATACACTTGTTGTTTTTAAAGCTAAATTATTTTTGTCAACAAATTTTTTTCTCCCAAGTTTTTCGTAGGCCCTAGGTAGGCACGTGCCTAGTGTGCCTATAGGTTAATCCGGCCCTGGCAGCAGGTAATGGTAAGGTTATTGAAAACACAAAAATATGCTTATCAAATGGGTTCAGCTTTAATTTAGCACAGACAAAGTTAGAATAAAATGTTCAGCTCTGCTCCTTAAATTTTTATACTTAGAAAAATTAGTTAGAAAATGTTTTGGAAAACTAAGATTTCACTCAAGGAGTTGACACATAAAGGGTACAAACTGCGTGCTTATAATTCATAACACCACTGATGTGAAATAAATGCACGAGAACTACATGTCACCAAAAACTGAATTTACGAAATAAATTAAAAAAAATTAAACTTCTAGTACAACCAATTAAAATGTATTATTGTACTTCTGGTTATGGATTGCTAATTTGGAAAGTTGGTTACTGTTATGTTTAAGAACAGTTAAGATTATGTTTGAAATTGAAAGCTAATTCAGAGCTCTTTCTGCTGGTAACGAGAAGAACTTTGGTATGGTAGGGAGAGTGTTGTACCTTAGACAAGTGTATTAATATTATTGAAAAATTATCAAAACTAAATTCTGTATTTAGTATGATATCTGTAGCAACTGATAGTATCTGCTGTGTTCATTACAGGTTTACCAAGTAATGTGCTTGAAAACTGTTTGATTTTCCAAGTTACAGCATAATTTTTTTTTTTGTATTCTGTTTGGTTTGAAAACAGTCAAACCAACACAGGTTTACTATCTATAACTGGATACAAATAATATAAGCTTTTAATGCTTTACTCATTATTATGTTACAATAGATCAAATTAAATTACTATTAATGTCGAAAGAATAATAGTCAATATGAGCTTTTATTATTTTGCTTGGTTTTATTTAGGGTGTCCGATTTTTATTTATGCAGCAAATTAAAAAATGTGTTTATGATGCCGACAAATTTAATTCTGTCTTAAATTTAAAATTATCTTTTTGATGTGCTTAAAGGGGGGGGGGAACTCATGCATTGAAAAATAGGTTGACTTTATCCAAGTGAAGAATGACTACATTTTGCATATGTGAATAAAACTAAAATAGTAAATAAAGTGCAAATTTTAGCCACAAAACACATACTAGTTGAGTTTTATAACCAAAAACCTTTCTTGGTATCCAAACAGAATATACTCTGTGCACATTTATTCATATGCATTCTCTACAAACATGTATTTCAAAGATAAATATAAATACCAAATAAACATGAACATTCACACAATTGCTAATCATGTTTTTAAACTGACTTTTGTGAAAATGAAGCTGAAATTTGTAATCTTGTTTCAATTGAAGTAAAGTATAATAGCGTGCTTTGAATGGTTTTTGCAACTGATTTAAATCTACAATTAATTTTGATGTTTTATTATTGAAATATAATGCATGAATATAGAGAGAATAGCCATGTTTATTTTATTTGTCTAATAAAATTACCCTTGAAATTTAAAATGACTTAAATTAATAATGCATCAAACTTTTATTTTTTTTTAAATCCTCAAGTTCTTTTATTATTTCAATTCTTGGCTTAAATTGGCTAGTGAACCACAACCAGTGACAACACAGTGTTTTCTAAGCTCTTTCTCCAAGCAAAATAAAAAAGCCATGGTTAAAGAAATTTACACTATAATAAATTAAAATTTTTAACTACTATCATATATCATTTTGCCGTAAATTTATATTGGCTTTTTTTAATTTTATTTTGTCCGTTATGAAATTTTTCACTAAATTGCCAATTTTGTAAGTTTTCCTTATTCGATAAGAATTATAAAAATCTATCTATGAATAATTCTAATTTTTTTTTTGGAGTTTTTATGAGCCCAGATGATAGTGCTAGAGGCACAAATTCAGTCATGAATAACTGCACAGTTATCTTTGCGGCAAAATTTTTTCCGGCTCTCTACAACAAATTTTCCTAGCACTCATCTTCCTGCAAGATATTTTTACTCTATCCCTGGTTATTTGAACGCACATTTACAGGATTGTCTAATTTTCCGAACCAAGTGCTTTTTCCAAAATAAATAAGTTTGTTAAAATGATTTTTTATTTTCGGAATACCTAAAAGCGGTAAAAAATTGCTTTTTCCTTTTGGTGTCCTAGCATTTAGTTTCTTGTAAAGGAGCACTTGACAACTGCAATATCATCGGCTTGAATTGAGCGTGTCATGAAGTGATTATTCAGAAGCACGATTAGAATTTCGTGTGTCATAATATCAAATTTTAAAAAATGCCGGAATTTTGAAAACCATAAGAAATTATAGCAATAACTGCTGAAAATTTGTAAAAATAATAGAATAATTTCATTAGTTGTGAATATTTAAATGCAAGCTTTGAATTTTGCTTGTTAGGAAATAATATAAACAAAAGGATTAAAAAAAAAACTGAATAAAAGTTTGTCACAATGAGGTCCATGTGATTATTTAAATGTGTGATTCGAACTTTGCGTGTTGTATTAGTATCCATAATTTTTTGACAAAAATTATCGTGAGAATAATGAGGCAATGAATGCAATCAGGTTAAAAAAGTGAAAATTTCTAACTTTTCTTCCTCATTTCTCCCGTAAAGCCAATCTTTTAAAGACAATTCTGAAGGGGGGGGGGGAATTCTGCTAAAAAGAATACCAAAATTTTATGTTTCCCAAGTGAAAAATCTTTCCAAAAGAATGCTGCGTAATGTTCTATGAAAATGATCCCACCATTCTGCACAGACAATTCTTAGCAAAAGAAGCGTTTCATGTCAAGACAAAAAATGTGAAAAATTATTATATTTATAATCCTTAACCTTTTGATTACAGCTAGTCTTATTATAGGTGTACCATAATAACAATCTTTAGAATGCTATGTAACGTATTGTAGCGATTAACATTGTTTCGCAATTTAAATTATTAGTTAATAAACTTCTTATAATGGTATTTGCATTTTTTGGGTTGAATCTGGATATTTTGTTGTAGATATTTTTACTAGATTCTATTTTGTAGTAATCATGAGAATGAGTTATTAAAAGGAGTAGATGAAATGAGTTATAAATTCCTTTAGCTTTGAAAATATTTCAGACATGGAAAATCAATTCTTTTTTAATAAATAATTTTGGTTTCTTTTCAGCTTGCACCTAAAGATAGCTCAGAATCTAAAAAGTTAAAAGAATTGGAAGAAAAAGCTCTCCAATGGAAAAGCTCTCAGCAACCATCAACTTGGGCTTATCCCTCCGCATCTACTACAGCTGAGCCTCATAATTCTGCAGCAAATGGCAGTGGATCAATACCCACACCTCAACAGCAGGTTAATATTGACATTTTTTTAAGAAAATCTTTGACGTGGTTGTATGTTTAGCATATTTTGTTGCCTGAGTTTTAAAAAAATTCTATATTTTTAATTGCTGATTTTATTTATCTCATCTCATTGCTAAATAAGAGAAAACTGAAAATTATTCGTTCATACTAATTATAAACTTAAATGTACTATTGGAAAAATTTTGCTAAGCATTGCCCAACCTCACAGAGTAGGATAAAATCGTAAATGTACCAAGAGTATTGGGAAAGATTTTTTCTATCGAAAAAAGAACATGTATTCCCCTAGATCCTGTAAAAGATATCAATATGAATTCAGAATTTTCTCTAAGGAATAAAAAAAGAGCACTCACTTAATACCATAAAAATTTATCAAAATGTGTAATATTATGTAATAACTGAATTTTATCCTCAACAATCTTTAAATTACTCTCTTGTACTATTTTATGTATTTCTAAAAGTAATTCTATCTCATTATCAAAAAAGAGAGGAAAATTCGTAATTGGTAAAAATAATAAAGGCATGCTAAAAAACAATCTCTGTGCATATAAATTAATAAGAAATGATTAATGAATAAATATCTAAAAAGCTTTTTTCTATAATTTAAACTGAAAATTATAAAAACATTTAAAGAAATTTTTTTTTTAAATTAAAAGGTATTTGTTTATAAAATAGTTTTAAAATTTAAAAACACTTAATTTCAAGATATCCCCGAAAAAAGATACTCATAAAAATTTAACCAGTTAAGAATAATCCTAACGTAATAAATGTGTAACAGTAATCAGAATTAAACCTATAAACACAGAAAATTTTACCAGAATGTAATTATTATTTAAACAGTGAATTAATGTTTTCAAAATGGAATATGAACCAAAAAAAGAAAAAAAAAAGAGGAAAGGAGTTTTTCAGGAATAGCGACTTTTTTTTGCAAAAAGGTTGTGTCCTTAAAAAATTACTAGAGAGAACACTGAATTTTTCTGAACAAACTTATATTTTTTCATTCAATTACAGTAATTTACCTCAGATATGTAGCATAACTAATTAGAATTATATTAAGTTTAGATAATGTAAGAAACGAGAGAGATAATGTTAGCATAAGGGGAAACAGGTTCATTACGTGATCACGCAAAATCGCATGATGAAATTCCTTCCTCAATTAGTGTCTATAAAGTGGTAAAATGAGACGATACAATATCTACACTTTTGATTTTCTCTTCCATTCATTCATCATTAACTCCTCCCAAACTGTAAAATGACTCTTAATTTGAATTTGCTATTTTTAAAATAGTAAATGTTGAAAAATTTGCTAAGATTCGCCTTTGGCTAAGACTTTTGAAATTTTGCCAACACTTTTGATATTTGGCTGATATACTAGCTAGTGATTTGGAATCCGTAGTGCAGGCCCTGTTTATATAAAATTTATGGTAAAATATAATGAATATTCAAAATGTTCTATTTATGGCAAGAAATCAGCAAAATATTGTTAAGTACAGGTGAAATTTAGGCAATTGTGCTACTAGTGAGTATTAGCATTTTCAACTATGGCCACTTTTTAAAATGTGGTCAATTTTTCAAAAATTGAAGTTTTTTTTATGTTAATATAGTGTATTTCTTCTAAAGCATTTCTCAAAATAAAGTAAGCATTACAAAGTCCATTTCTAAACTGAAAGTTTTTTAGTAACAAATGAAGAATTTTTATAATATTATAAAATTTCCATAATTCCTTAATCTTCAACAGGGTTGGCAGGTTTTTGACATGTGACAGTTTTTGACGGTTTAAACCATGATTTAAACCGTCACGTGGATAGTGTTTCTAAATATGTTCTAGAAAAAATAAATTTAAAATTTTTAAGAAACACTTATATTTTGAATGGTAACCAAAATCTTGTACTTCTGAAAGCTCACATCTTTGGTAATATTATGTATTCATTTTCATGTGTTATTGAAAATCTGCAGTGATATTATTAAGAAATTTATTTATAACCAAATTTAGTGTATAGTATAGATTATACTAAAAATTAGACATTTTTAAAGATAAACATTAGCAGTTTTGTACATTAGACATCTTTTAAAGAAAAATCTTTTTAATATTCTTTTAAATCTTCTTAATAATCTTTTTAACATAAGACAATACAAATTTAAGTGCTTTCTGTTAAATACACAGAGTAGTTAGTGTCGATTTACAGTATATTCAGCCTATTCATTTACTATGCTGAAAATTTAGTTTATCCAAATACTTGTGAATTTCATTTTGCTGAATACTATATAGTTTTGTTGAATATCTAAATATTCAGCTGTTGAATAATTACTTCTTGCTTTCAAGATATGCATTATTTGTATTCTTAATACAAGTGGAGAAAAAAAAATTAAGAGATAAAAATTGTTTTAAAATGATAAGTGTAATAATTATAAATAAATATAATAAACAATATGAATTATATTTATCATTATTCACAAATATAACTACTTTTAAATTCAAATTAACATACTGGATAATAAAGATATTCGGTATAACATTAAAAAAAATTTTTTATACACTTGTATCAAGTTTGTATTTATACAACATAACTTGTAAGTTCCTTATAAATATTAGTTATATGTTCCTTATATGTCAAAAATGCATAGTAATAAACTTTTAATTTTCTTAAGTATCAAAAAAAAAAATTTTTTTTTCAAAATATAAATATTTAAAAAAATTTTGTGCAAAATTTTTCTGCACATGCATTTGAATATAAATTTCTGAGATTTTAAATCTGTTATTTTACCTTAATTTTAATTAAAAAATATTTTAAAACCTGCTGATTACCTATAGTATAATTAAATTTCAATATAATGCATGGCAACTGTTGGTAGTTTTGAAGTTTATATATTTTCTTGGCAAACTTCAGTTTTTGACATTTTTGACGGTTTAAACCAGTATTATACCCTTGTCATGTCAAAAACCCAACCCTGATCTTCAACAAGACATAATCATAAACTTCAACTTAATCTTAAATCCTGCGTGATCTGCAATTTTTTTCCGAATTTTTATTGTTTTTATTTCAAAAAAAATTGCTATACTAACTTTTTTCTGCTAAGTTAAGAAATCAGGTGTTAAAATAATTAAACAATAAGTATCAATAAACCATTATTATGATTTAGACATTGACAGATTGACTGATAAGCATTTGGGCAACCTAATGAGAATAGCTAATGAAAAAGTAGATATAGAATATTTTCCATATGATACAGCAAAAATATTCAATGCTTTAAAAAATAGATGTTAAATATTATAATTCAAGAAATAATATTTTTCCAAGTCTGTTTGTGCTTTTTTAATTTTTTCAAATCTCTCCCTGTTTTTGAGAGAGGGTGAGAAATTCTCTCCCAATTTTTTTCTGTAATGAAAACACTGAAAATGAATGCAATATTCAAAACAAGGATCAATCGCGACATCAGTTATGATTTTCCTGCTAATTTGTGGGCTTCTGTGAATCAATCTTTTTTATGCAGATTTCTTAGAGAAGAACGCAATTTGATATGAACTTTCAGGACAGTAGACTAAAAAGGAAAAAAAAAAACTAATAACTTTGGTTACAATTGATGAAATATTGAGGCAAACACAAGTATGAAATTGTTAATTCAGAGTAATTCAAGTAAGAAGTAATTCAGAGATGGCAAACAGTTAAAACATAGTTTGCTGGAAAATTTGTTTATTTTTGTAACTTTTAGTTTAGTGCATTGCAATTTTGTTGCAAATTCCAATTAATAACAGAATTATTTAAACTGTGATATGTCTGTCCCATTTTTATCTGGCTACAATTCCAGTGGCAGAAAGTTCTTAACTCTTTGAATTTCGTAACCTGTCTGCAAAATTTCCATGTTGCAAAAATTATAATTTTATTTGAAACATGATAAACATAACACATTCTGAATTATTTTCTTTCTTACTTAGTGTTATGGATTTTTTCATATGAATTGCTCACTTCTAGTTGTATATCTGAAGTGCGGTGGATAAGTAGAACCATACATCGATATTAATGCTCCTCTTAAAAACGTATCGGTACCTTTAAAACCAGACGGGATCCATTTAATTAAATGAAAACTTTTATCGTTAATGCAAACTTTTGCCATCTGTTCCATCTCTCGATCTTATTCTGTGTTTACCAACAACATCGATCACAGATACCCAAGTTTTATACACAGCCTTAGAGATTGGTACAGAAATAACAGAAAGAAGAATCTTAAAAAATTTAGGAAGTTTTTCTTTCTGTTCATGGAATACAATATTAAACTGCTGCATCACCCTCTGTAACAATTTTGCTTATTTTATTGCACATCCATCCACTAAATATCATATATCACAAAGTTTTTCTGAACTCTACAGAAGAATCCACAAAAGGTTTGGTCGAAAAGAAGAATCTGCAAAAGGAATTTCTTTGCAGTATGTTCTACATTTTAAAATATGACTTTAATATCTTTTTTAGCCCAGGTTTGAGTCCAAAGAATATCTTGATAAGGTTGGCATCTCATAAAATGTGTGTTCAAGTTGTTGTTTTTTTTTCACTAATTCTCATCCACATACAGTCTAACCTTGTGACTACATTCTAGCAGGTTTGTTTTCAACGCAATGACTCTGTTAGTGAACAAAGAAAAACAGGTAACAAGGACTATTGAAGAGGCTCGTAAAGCTGGATTCTTCCATTCCTTTTTGCAGCGCAAGGGATGGGCATCACTAACTCGATGCAGTGGTATTTGCCAGCAGTGCAGCGTATGTTCTTGTCAGATCAGTGATGGGGAAAATGCATCTGAAGGTTGCAGACAATTTCAAAAATAGTTTTATTAGCGCGGACAGAAACTGTCTGCAAGCGGATTTCATGTCTGCACAATGGCACAGTGTTTCTGACACTGGGTTACACTTTAATTGAAAAATTTTTACTTCGGCATGAAAATTTTCAAATCACGCATTTTCTTAATTACTTTTCTACCCGCTCGATACTATTGTAAATTCTTGTTTCGAGCTTTTCCTCCCCACTTTTGCAATTAATGCGATTGATTTTCTCATGGTTTTTAAAATCTGATATTACAATGCAAAAGTTTGAATCTTCTGTCGACGAGAAAAAATTTATTCGATAGTTTTTTTCGATCTCTTTAATTAATTTTTATGAATGTTACTATTGTGCATAAAAATTAGTTTTTTTAAAATTTACTATATACAAAAAAAAAAAAAAATTATAAATGAATATTCTGATAATTTCATCACCAAACCTGTTTCTTATGTGTTTCACAGAAAAATGCAAGTAGATTCATTGCAATGGAAGTAACAAGAGGTAACATAAAATTCAATTGTTTTGGTTAGGCCAATCTTCTGTTAGTACAATTACCACATACAATTTCGCGTCCATGTCAGAAGTAGTAGTACTTTTCCAGACTTTCTTAGAAAATCCCAACATTTTACTATTTTGAAATCCGCATCTCTAGGTTTTTAAAATTTTTTTATTTTGTATATTTTTTAAATGGTATGATTGATCATGAAGGATGTCCTTGACATATTATTTCTCTTTGTGAATTTGTTCATTCAGTTTTACATTTTTAAAATAGTCGCAGTCGTGTCATTTTGATAGGGTGCCTGATGCCAATGTCATCTTGAAGTCCGGATCATTTAGGTGTGTAAGCCTTCTGGTCCTTTTAGCCTAGAAATAAAAGTAAGAATTAATAAGTGTGCACATTACCTAAGTAGGTATCATCAGAGATGATGCAGACTGTACATGCCAAAATACATAAATAAAAAGATATAAAACAGTGTTTCCCATCCTTTTTTGTGCCATGCCCCACCTAAGCCTTTCTAAAATTCTTATGCCACCCTATGTAACATATTCATAATTTTTAATATTAAAAAATTGAATTGTTCACTTAAGAAACTTAAATGATAGGTTTTAGGAAGAAATAACTAGGAAATTTTTGACGAAACACAGTAAGTAAATTTTCAAAACATATGAAGAAAAAATCAAATTAGAAATAATATTAATAAAGATTTTTCTATAATAATTTAATTTTTTAATTTAGTGAGATTCTTGCGCTTGATGCTTGCTGCACAGAGATTTTATGTTAGGTTCCAATTTGGTTAGCTTCATTCTCTAGTCCTAGTGTTTTGATTTTATTGGGCGCTTGGGCCGCAAAGCTACCCCTATCCCTTCATTTGGAATTTTAACACTGAGGCATCAGAGGTGAAATGTGCAGCTATTGGTCACTAAAGTCTCCCCGTTGTATTGTATCTGGACGATATCTTTTTTTTTTTACCAGTATATCATTTACAGCACTAAATCCGCATTCAGCTAAATATGAAGATGGAAACGGTAACAATAGTTTTCCTGCACATTTGGTTGAATTTGTGTACTTGATTTCTGTTTCCTTACAAAGCCATGCCATCACTCCTTTTATATTAAATAAAGTTTTGACTGACTTATCATTTTGAATTTTTGCGAGTTTTTTCTTGATACTGCATATTTAATATATCAGACAAATCCACTAACATTGGCTGCATCATCCATGTTGGAAAATCAATTTGTTTTAAATCAGAAAATCTTTCTTTTAAATCAGCCTATAAAATTTTCAGGTGATCGACAATAACAAATAAAGCGGTATAATTAACTTTGCATTTTTGGAACCAATGAAACTGTTCAAAGATTTTGTTAATATATTTCTGACATAACTCCAATAAGGGTAATAAAACCAAATATCTTCGCTTTCGCATCAACAAGAGGAAGTTGCCTTGAAGTTGCTTATTTAATATATTTAGTTTTTCAAAGATATCGGCTTAATAACTCACAAATGCTTTACCATAGACTGATAACAGATATTTCATTTCAGGTTTGTCACTTAAAAATTCTCTCAGAGTATCAAACAGCTCCATAAATCTTTTCAAGCAGTTCCCTTTAGACAGTCACTGTGAAGTAAAAGTCTCTCATGGTCTACATTTTGTTCTTCACAAAATAGCTTGAAGAGGCGCTCACATTTGGCATTAGCTTTAATAGCATTGATACACTTTATTACTGGCTGTAGTACATCATTTAAAACAGGCTAGATGTTATTAGCTACCAAGTTTTCCTTATGAATAAACGCAATGCACAGGAATCATTCCTGGATTCTCATCTTTCATCAATTTTAAGCAGTCATTTTTCTTGCCCATCATATTAACCTCGAAGTTGGTTTTTAAAATCAATTGGATACAAATCTTGATGTTTGATTTTGAAATCGTGTGAATACGAAATACTATATCTGATATAATATTGTGAAAGTATAAAACATGATGCGTCATCTTAAATCGTGAAAATTCGAATCACCATGTGTGATTTTAATTCGTGTGAACACGAATTGCGATATGTGATTTTAAATTATATGAACGTAATTTTAAATCTTGTTTGCATAGGAGAATCTTCTAGGAAATCGCATAAAAATGGACCTTGAATTTGAAAAATATTAACTTTCTATGATGAAACTTATTTTACAAGTAATACTAAAAAAATTTTCCTGATGCTGAAAAATTTTTTGCGAACTGTGTTGGTGTATATTATACTTACCTGCAAACAACCTTTAAGGTTCATTATTGTGCGTGATGATTTGTTCTTTTAATGTTTTACTTTTTGAAGTAATTTATTTTATATATATGTTCATATATTTATTCATAGTTGCAATTTGATAAGGAAGAGGAAGAATTTGAGAAGCAGTTCAAAGAATGGGAGAAGGAATTTGAAAATTGGAAAGAGAGTAATCAGAATCACCCTGATAAAGAGGCTTTTGCTCAATATGAGAAGCAATGGCAAGAGTGGCGTAAACAATTACTGCAAAAAAAGGAGCAGATGCAAAAAGCGAAAGCCGAGCGTGTTGCTGCATCCTCTTCAGCAATGAGTGCACCTCAAACCTCTACCATTAATACAGGTAACATAATTTTAACCCTTTAATTTTCTTTCTTAAATAATATAAATAGAAAGACTGGTTATGTTTTCCACCTCTTAAGAGACTGTAACTATACCCTCCTAGCTTTTTCTTCTACAGATAAAAAAAAAATTGAGGTATGCTTCGAAGTATCGAATGCTTCAAAATATCGAAATGCAAACAAATTATAGCAAGGTTACACATAATCCTAACATAATTTTGCCTTTTTATTTCTTGAAAACATTTTTTTCTACACCATTTGGAACTTCATGTTTAAGTACCGGTTTACATGAACCACTTTTCTCTAAAGTATTACTGGAAGTGACTTTGAATTTCCCACATTGTTTCTTCCGGGTCCCTTAGTTCGGTTGAAAGAAAGGACTAAATCATCAGGTTCTGTTTGTTGGAAATGAAAGAAAATAAAAATATCTTTAAAATAATGTTGGGAATAAAACAAAGGCATTTTTTTTACATGTTTTAAACCTTAAGAAGCTTTTTCTTACATCTAGCAACTTTTATTCATAGTTTTTTCTCTCATAGCCTAGTTTAAACATGACATTAAAGGTAAAATTCTTATCTTCCATTTAAAGAAAAAATAAGTAAATAGAATTGTCTTTAAATTGAACAAAGAAAAAAGTTTTAAAGGCATCACAAAATTTGAACTTCAAGTCTAAACTAAGTTATTGGGCTGCCACCTACAATGTCAATTTACCTAGTTACGGAAAGGGAAAGAAAACCAACCAAAAGAACTGGTCATTAATTCGTTTAAGGCATTATTCGAAAGAAAGTAGCCAAAAACAAGCACTTTCCTTATTGGTCGAATGTCCTTTTTCTTAGTTATAGAAGTTTCTTATAAATTTATAATGTTTTGCGAAGTGTACTCTTTGTAAAATGTTCTATGACTTTGAACTGTCTAACAGTTCTTAAAGTTTCTGTGAATGAAAAATAAGAATTAATATAGGTATACATTGAAATCTGCTATTTTACAAATAGAAAAACACTACACTTTATTTTTATTTAATTAGAAGCTAGATGTCCCCTCTTGCCCTGTATTTTTCCTAGTAAAATATAGAAATATATGAATCATGAAATTCACAAAAGTTTCTTATAAATTATTTTTCAGATTATAATAAAATAAAAAAAGTTACCAGGGGTCTGTCCAGATATTTTGTGAAAGGTCCTGTTTTTGTAAAATTGTGAAAAAACTATTCTTAATTTGGAAGTATTAAATAAGTGTTAAGTCACATTCTTTCAACCAGGGTCCTGCTTATGTGAATTTGTGCAAATAAGGTCCTGTTATTTCAAAAATTGCTATAAACCTTTGCGAGTTTTTAAATTGTAAATAGAGACAAGATTCTGCTCAACAATTGCTGCTACTAAATTAGAGATGCAACATAAAAATATTTGGTATTTAGCCTATACTGCTCAACACAGATTATTCATTTTGGCGAATAATGGAAATAAAATCACTCACATTTTTAATCATTTCAATTGACATATTTTAAATAACACAACTTTGTAATGTATCACTTTTAATGTGTTACACACTAAGTAAACTTAAACAATTCTTAAATTTATAATATTTTATTTAAAAAATTGCTAGAAATTAATTTTTATATTATTAATTTTATGAATAAATATAAATTGATCAATTTTTGATTCACAAAAAAATCTATGATTTAAAATTAATGCGAATGAGCACACGATGTTTGTAAAAGTAGAAATATTTTCTTAGAATACTATACTTGGAATTTAAACTTAGGGAAACTTAGTTTGTCTTGAACCGTCTTTCTCCCGCTCCCTGGAAGGGTTAATTCGATTAACAAAACAATAATGAAGATAAACAAATCTGTGAAGGTACAGTTTTTATGAAAAGATATTTTGTGAACTGTCTCTAATTATATCTAGATTCTTTTTTGAGAAGTCAAATTTAAACTAATAATTATTAAAGTATGTAAATTTATTACATTTTACTATGCAGTCATATAAATTTCATTTGTATAAAGTAATTATTCCTTTAAAAATACTTTTAATGTTTCATTAGAAATCAAATAAAGGTTGTTAAATTATCTAAACTGATTTGCTGATTGGTAAAACTTTTTTTTTTTGAGTGAAACTTTGAGTTCAGCAAGATTTTTTAAATTTTTTTCTTCCTGTCAATTGAATTAAAATATAGAAAATCCATCCACACTTTTTTCATTCAAATATGAATATTCATCTACTATATTTCATCCATAAACTAACTTTTTGATATTACTATAAAAACTTGTTAAATACTTATCACCGAAGAGATTATTTAACAATCATTTTGTATGAATGAAAAAAAGGTGCACAAATTAATCTTCAAGGGATGAAAAAAAGAGAATCAGTACCAAAATCTAGTAAATCACAACAGGAGCAATCTGGAATGAAAAAGAAATCAAAATCAGTTTGATTTCTTGGCAACAGAGAAGCTCTTATTATTACTGTGTATTTTTCTGTATTAATTTAACTTGACGAAATTTTGAGGCATTAATAATCATAGTTCTCATCATTTCTGTTTCCTATGGCAATCAAACTGGTTTTTATGTTTTCAGTCCTGCTTTCCTAAATAGCGATTCAGTAGATTTTGATAGCTTTTGTGTTTTTTTTTTCACTTAAATATTAATTTTGTCCACTATTATATAATAAATAAATTTAATTAGTAAATTTCTTTTACTCCATTTTTGAAAAGATTTCTAAGCATGTTCAATAAGGAAGGCCATTGCATAACACCTTGCAAGTGCATGTTTTCATATTTTTCTTCGCCTACTATGTTCCAGTGTATATTACAATAACTTTTTAACCTTCCATTTAGTAACTAGCTATTCCAGCTATTAGAGGAGTTAAGATTATTTATAGAAAAGAAAAAATCCTATCATACATGTTTTTATTTTATTATACAATTTATAATTTAAAGAATTATAAATGAAAATTAAACAAATTATACTCAAATTGAAACCCGTGAACAGCATTCTGGCTAGCAGAAATGTAACGAAAGTGGGTAACCTTGTAGAAAGTAACCTTGTTTCGTCTTTGTATTTGGCCTACCTTCAACTGAAAAGAATTTTTTCCATTTTACTCAATGATGCAAAATGGCCAGACCAACGTCAATAATTTTATTTTTACCTTTTAATTAGTATGCTAAATTTTTGTTTTTTGAAAAAGAAGGAAGGAAAACAGTTTTGTGATGCTTTATAATATATCAGTGTATTATAAGATCTTTACGTCATTGTGTTACTTTCATTAAGTTGTAGCTTCAAAATCTAAATTTTTATTTCTGAAATATATTTTAAGAAACAGACAAAAAGCTTTTAAATAATTAAAATTAATATAGAAAGAACGAGTTCACAATGAATATATCTTTCATAATAAATTTAAAAACTAATAAATAAAAATAAATAATCAGAAAGCAAGTTTCAAATGCTACCCTCACCAGTTCTTTCAAAAGGTATTTTTAGAAAAAATAATTACTTTCAAAAAGAGGTGAAACTAGATATTAGAATTTCAGGAGAAAGAATACCACCTAGCAAGATGAGCAATTAAAGATTAGTCACAGTTACTGATTCTCCTAGTAAAGAACGAACTTTACTATGAAAGGTACAAAGTTGTTTTCCTTCCTTTCTCGAAGGTGGAAAGTGACATAAGTTTAATTAATTTAGAATTAAGGTAATATTAAAAAATTATTAATGATAAAAAATTTAGATTCACATTTTTTGTATTTTTTTTTCAAACTGATAACTCCGATTCTTGAATGAGAAGAACTGATATAAAGTATGACAAGCCCGCCATAGACATTATATGTTAAAAGCAGAATTGAGGAATCTTCTTAGAGCAACACTTTTCTCCTGGCAACCACAACCGTTATCTACTGCAACAACACCTCTCTCCAATAGTAGTACGCCTAGTTTTTTATTATTAGCAATTTTTATAATAAATTAGCGAAAGGGTGACCTTTTATTCTGGAGAAAATTGCATTTTCTAATGGTATCATCTAATAATCCAATTTCAATGGAATGGCATATTATATAATTTAATAATTTTAAATTAAACTTTTGAAACTAATAGATATCTAAAATTTTCAATAAAATGACAAATTTACCATTTTCTAAATGTTACACACTTCAGTAAATAACGTATTTCCTTATTTTTAATCGAAAATAAAACATAGTTTCCAAAAATATATTTTCTTTAATCTTAAGAAGAAAATATTTTTATTGATCCACTCTCTAAAATGAAGTTCTCTAGATTTTATATGATGAAAATAATTCTTTATTCCTTAAAATTAGATGACTGTATTCATATATTTCCCTCGACCCTTCTATCAGTGAATCTGAATTAAATTCATGTGATGAGGGGCCAATAAATTGACTTACTTCCTACCTTACAGGTTAGGCTTATTTTTATACATTGTAAATTTTTAGATTTCTTTACTGGAAAATATTAATTATACCTATATTACTAATTTAAACTTTGATAATATTTTACTGCAAATTTTTTTTTTTAAAAAAAGTGTTGATTGAGACATTCTTTTTCCAAATAGAAGATAGTACTCATTTCTGTCTTGTTAAAATATTATTTGTTCCAAGAATAAATTAAAAAATTTACTTCTAATTCAGATATTACACCTCAATATAGACTAATTTCTGGTTCCCTCTCTTCTTATCATTCCCAACTTCATTACACACATGCTTAGAATGACTTAACTGAGTTCCGATATATTTCATATGATGCTGATAGATGAAGGAGGAGGGAGCAATTTGGCTACAGAAATGGAATTCTGGACTTCTGTATAATTGTATATGATAGTTAACATAATAGTTCAGTAGGGGTATGATATAAGCCATCATCATTGAGTGTTTCCAAAAACGAACTACCTAAAACTAAGTGTGCAATCTTAAAAAATATTGCACTCATTCATCATTTGAACATACTAGCGAAATCTGTTTTTCGACAAATTGTATAAAAACAAACATCCAAAACGAAATTGTATCCAAAAACGAACTACCTAAAACTAAGTGTGCAATCTTAAAAAATATAGCACCCATTCATCATTTGAACATACTAGCGAAATCTGTTTTTCAACAAATTGTATTTTTCTTCCCTATTTTTAAAGTAGATTCTGCTGTTTTTATAATATTTTTTAAAGTGAAATATACTGTTTTAGTTTTTTTTTAAAGTAGCAGATATGCAACATGTTCCTCTAACAATGAGTTCATCCAACATGTTTTTCATGTTGGTTGAACTTGTATATGAAAAATATTTGAGTTTTTAGATCTTGGGGTATTTATAATGAGAAATATCCAAATTCTATAAATACCTCAGTATTTATGAATTAAATCTGAAATTCAATGATGATTTTTATTAGTTTCATGAAATTATATATATCTAAGATGCAAGTAAGCTTTTCTTTCATCGACAAAAGTTAATTTGTTATTTATTATGAAGAAAAACATTAAATTAAGTGTCTAAATTATTATTGAAGTCATTGTTTATATCTGTGTGTGTGTCTGTAAGGGTGGCAGTCGAGCAAATTGGACAAACAGGCACAAGATTTGAAAAGATCAAATTAATTTTATTGAACCATCATAATTAGAGAAAGAATATCCAAGTGACAAATCATAGTGCTGCTCGACTAAGAGTTTCATATTTGGGAAAACCGAGTAGTAATTATAATTGGTCTATTAAATAGGTTGAGAGAAAAAGTCTTTCACATAGTTCAAATAAATCGAAAAATCAAAGAAGTTAATTGGTGCATAACTTGAAGCCAAAATTAGATTAAAAGACAGAATGTGAATATTAAAGTTTGAGAAAGCGCGTTCAGTTTAGAATAATAAATTAAGAAAAAGATAAAGGAATAACATTACATTAGTTGAAACTTATGTTGTTACGTGTATCTGATGAAAGATATTATATAGGAAAATTACTTATGGTTTGAGCTACCATAAATGCACGCTTCTGCTCTCAATATGTTTTTCTTCAATTATGTTTTGTGATTATTAAGCTAAATACTAAACTAGGGAAGCATTGCTGCAAGTATAATTTTTACGTGAAAAAAATGTTTCAGGATTTAAAAAAATTCATTCAGGTTTTAATCACAGATAACAAAACTAACCTCGTTGCTTTGTCTGCGTGCAAAGGATGCTTAATTTTTTCTATGTTTCATATTTAATTATGGTGGAATTCTGGACAATATTCAAGTTTGTTAACAATTTAGATTAACAATTTTTAGATGCTAATTCATAAAAATAGGAGCTTAATGTTTGTGTACTTTTGAAGATTGCTGAAAAATTTATGTGAGCTTGAAAGTTTCAATATTTTATCATATTACATTTAAAGAGTTGACAAGCCTCTTTCACAATTGAGAGAAAGTAACACTGGCAGAGAGGGCAATAAACAAAGCTTTATTTTTCATTCACTGAATAGGCATCTGTCAAACACATATATTGAAAGACCTGAAATGTTAATACTGTTCTAGTTACGCAACTTTTTATGCTTTGGCCTCTTGAGCAAGAGATACCTAAACATTTTTTATTTTTCAGCTGTCAGCATTCCTGCGACTTCTGTCTCAACTAATGAATCTGCTGTTGCAAATGCTGGAATGTATTATCCTCCATCACAGTATATGTATATGCAACCATATATGTATCCAGGTAATGTTCCAGTTCCACCTCCCATGACCGCACCTCCTACAATGCCACCTCAATTTCCACCATATGGAGCACCAGCACCACCTCCTCCAACTCAACCTCCACATTTTGGAAATCCGCCTTTAATGCCAGTGCCACCTGGTGATCCATCCATGCCTCCATCAGACAATCCTAATATGGTTTGTGGGACATTTTTAAAAAATTTTAACAAGGACATATTTCACTTAGTAAAAAACTGCACTCAAAATTTTAAAATTGAGGGGGGGGGGGAAACAACAACTGAAGCTTGGATAATCTACTGAGCTAATTCTTGAGGAATCTTCTTTAAATTTTACATTATAATTAAAATCTTCATTAAAATTATTCAATATGTTTGTCAGAAATAGCTTAAAACTAATCATTCTTATGAAAAATTTTAGGGTCTTATTTTTGTTGCTTTATTTATTGTGAAATTATTGCCTGATATAATTGCTTTATTTGTTACATAATTAAAAAAAAAATTTAAGTCTTATTTTTGTTGCTTAATTTTTTTAGAAATTCAAAGGTGCCAACTGTTAAGATCTATTCATAATTATTCGAATTTTGTTTTCAAGATTTTTGCCTTACGTTCAACTACTAAAAATTACTGTTTTTTAGAATTTTTGTTAGAATCAGTAAAATTTTTTATTTTTATAACTATCGAGAGTTAGAAAACTATATTTGCGGCGAATATTTGAAGAAAAAAAAATATTTATGCATAATATTAATAATAGGTATATGCCTATTTTGTATTCAGGAGTAAAGCACCTTAAAATTACATTAATTTAAATTTTGTTTATGTTATATGTATTATTGTACTTCTGATTACTGGTACTGTATATTTAAATACATATTTAATTTATTAAATTGATTTTTCTGCATCAAATTAATATTTTTTTCTTTTTTTATTTTGGAAAAAAATAGAAACCAGGTGAAGGATTTGATCCAAATTGCTATAATTATAATCCCAATAATGAAATGTATGGGGAAGACGAAAAATATCAAGAATATGGTGATCCTGGCATGTATTCTCATGAAAATGAAGTAAGTTGTATTTTCTTATTTTTAATGTGCTTATTTTTTCAATTCAGAGCAATAAAGCAATTTAAAAATCAGCTAAAATATCAGAGAATTTTGAATTTTATTTCTTATTTTTGTCTTTTAAAAAATTCTCTGAGAATTCCTCTCAGAAAGCAATCTGTGGGATATTTAAAGATAATAGTTCAGCTGTATTTCATTTATTATTACATTTGTTTCATGTTGCTGTTTCTTATTTCTTAAAGTTTTTCCAGCAAGTAATTCTCTTTATATTATTTTATGTGTATATTTCAACAATAACAAGAAAATTTTTTTATTAGTGTGCATATCCTAACAAATAAGATAATGAGAAAATGAAACAAATTGAATAAATATGACAACCAAAGCTGACGTCTTCAGGGGGTACCAGCTCCGGAAGTCATAAAAGCAAAACTTTTTCTATCGAGAGAGCAAGAGATACTTAATATACAATACTTAAATAGAATTACTTAATATAGAATACTTAATATACAATATAAAATACAGAAGAATACAATATGAAATGGAGAAGCAAATACAGAAGAATAAAAAGACAAATACATAAGAATAGTACGAACGAAAACTTACTTGAAATAAAAATCCATTAACTAGATAACACAACTGACTGTGTGATACAACTAAAATAAGATAAGCATAAAAACAATGCCCCCTAACCTGCACAGTTTAAAAAAAAGGGACAGAATTTAAGGAAGTAGTGACATCATTAATAGAAAAGCTTGACTGGGGAAACAATATCGAGACTTGGATTTTGCTTAACTAAATGAAAAAACTAATAATTCTCAATCATTTTCTTAATTTTAAAATCAATATTACAAAAATTAAGAGGAAAACCATTATTTTCAAAAAATTTTTTGAAAATTACCAGTTGCCTCTTGAAAATTTGAAATATTATTACAAATTTTATTAATTTTAAACAATTGAGAGAAAAAAATTATAAATTTGTGAAAATTTTTACTGCACAAATTAGTATCAAAATTACAGAAGAAAATAACTTTAAAATTAAAAGCTTTTCTTTTGTCGTAAACCCCAATTTTTATTCGTTTATCAGCAAAATCAATTTTAAAATCTAAATATTCAACATTTAAGCAATTTTCATTAGTTTTCTTCAAAACCAATTGCTTAGGATAAATATTAAAAATAAAATCATAATTATCACAATTAAATAAAATTAAATCATTGATGTACCTAAAAGTTTTAGAATCACTAAACTCGCTGTATTTAGCTTCAAAAAAATTTTAAAAAATATTAGCAAATGCACCAGAAAAAGAATTGCCTATTTTGTTTATAAAAATTAAGCCCATTAAAAAGTATATTTTCAAAAAGATAAAATCTACAAATATCCATCCAATAAGATTTATCAATTAAATAAATATTTATCAAAAATACCAGTACAAATATGAATTATTTGTGCATGTGGTATACTAGTCTACAAATTTTCAAAGTCATAAGTATTAATATTAGAGACCACATTATTATTAATAAAATTCAAAATGTCAATGTTACTATCAATAACAATATTTTTCCCTTTTTTAATCTTAAGTAAAGTAATTTTAGGAAAATAAAAAAAAAACTTTTTACTCACACTAGAAATATAACAGTTTGTACCACATGCAATGAATCTAAATTTTACTGGATTTTTATGAAATTGAACTATAGGAAGTAAATATGGAACTGTAATTCGATAATCCTTTTTTCAATAACTTTTTTATCTTCCTTTTATTTTAAATAAGTATTATTAGCATTATATTCCCCAATAATTAATTTTTTAAAAAAATATTTTCACATAATACAAAAATTATTAGAAGCTTATTTTTAAGAATTTTAATCTTTTCAAACAATTCATAATCAATAATGGTACTCTTAGGATAAGTAAAAAACCCGGAATTAAATAAATTATATTTAACTCTTTTCATTATTTTTGTTTTCCATTCTGTAAAACCTTCGATGGGCCAATGATATTTCCTAGAAATTTTTAGCTATAAAAAAAATCAAGATCTTTTAACCAATAAAATAAAATCATCATTTTTCATTTTACACTTAGTTCTGAATTTTGAACCCTTACTCATAATACTAATTAAATCTTGATCCCCAACAATTTTTTAAATTTCCTGTTATAATGTGACCATATTCTTTAGAAAATTCTTCATCATTACAATGACAATCAGATAATGAAATATAATTTAAATTCTGACTTAAAAAATTATAGTTACAAACCTTTTTTCTTAAAGTAGATGAATATTTATAGGCAGCTGTAACTATAACTTGTTTTAAAGGAAAAATATCGGAAAAACAGTGAATAACTTGTGAAAACCTAGAAATTTCACATTTTTTATCATGAAAATTAATGGTACAAAAAATCATCTGAACATTGGAAACCTTTTTGAAAAGCAAATCAGTTTTTTTAACCCCAAGCTTCGATTTAACCAAATCCAAAACAATAAATTTAATAAGCTCAGTATCAAATTTAATTTTATTCCCAAATTCAAAAAAGAAATTTTTAAGAACTTTATTTTTAAAGCTAAAAATATATTTCCTAATAGTTAAAATATTAAAGTTAACATAATAGTTACAAATTTTCGAAAATTCATCAAAATCAATAATTTCCCCCGCCCCTTAACCTCTTTTATATATTCATAGAATTAAAAGCTCAAGAAAAATTTAAAACTTTAAATTTATCATAAACACAATATCAATAGTGCCTTCACCATTAAATTTATAATTTAAACCATAAGAAAAAAGGGTTTTAAGATTTTTAATATAAATATTTTCTAAATCAAGCCTATTATCTAAATTATCCATAAAATCCAAAATAAAAAGAGTAACATTATTAAAATCATGAAATTGAAAATGTAAAATTTCATAATCTGTTGAATCATTATTATTATTACTATTAAATTTTTTTAAACAGATCTGTGAGAGTTAATTCTCTTATGAAATTCTAAACTAGTTTCAACAATATAACATAAGTTGCAACAATTACGTAGAATTAAAATAGGGGTTTATGATAAAAGAAAAGCTTTTAATTTTAAAATTATTTTTTTTCTGTAATTTTGATACTTAATTTGTGCAGTAAAATTTAAAAAAATTTAGTTAGCAACTTTTAATTTTTTAAAAAATTTAAAAAATAATGGTTTTCCTTTTAATTTTTGCAATATTGATTTTAAAATTTAAAAAAATGATTGAGAATCATTAGTTTTTTCATTTAGTTAAGCAAAATCCAAGTTTTGATAAAGTTTCCCCTATCAAGCTTTTCTATTAATGATGTCACTATTTCCTTAAATTTTGTCCCTTTTTTTTTAACTGTGCAGGTTAGGAGGCATTGTTGTTTTTATGTTTATTTTATTTTACTTGTGTCACACAGTCAGTTGTGTTGTCTAGTTATTGGATTTTTATTTCAAGTAAGTTTTTGTTCATACCATTTTTATGTATTTGTCTTGTTTTTATTCTTCTGTATTTTATATTGTATATTATGCCAATTTTAGACTTTTGTCTTGCTCTCTCGATAGAAAAGGTTTTGCTTTTATGACTTCCAGAGCTGCTACTGAAGACGTCAGCTTTGGTTGTCATATTTATCCAATTTGTTTCATTATCTCATTTGTTTCAATTGCTTTTGGATTCACTGCTGCTAAGCACGTTTTTCCATTGGAAATATTACTATTTTTAATTGCTTTAAAATTTTTAATTCTTTACTTGATGTGCACATCCTCATTATATTTTTTAAGTGCTTACAAATATTTTTTGAGTGCTTGAAAAATGCTTAAAAGCTGCTTATTTTTTATAGAAAAATTTGTCTACACATCTTGTATAAGTAATATTTAGTATGTAATATTTAATGTTTATAAGTTCATATAGAATATATAAAAAATTAAAAACATACCTACTGTTTGTCTACGATAGGTACTCTGCCCGCCATTCGTCTGGAGGGGTGGCGGTGACTATGGTAACGAGGTATGATTATTTCAAGTAGGGGTGCGGGGTCCCTCTTTAAGACTGGCTTCGGTGGGAGAAAAGGAGACTTCTTTCTTCGATCTATTGTATTAGCCCTAGAGTTAAGAGAAATGAGCATTCGCGCCTGAAACATCGTTTAGAGTGTTTGATTCCTTTTTTTTTTATCTTTTCTCTTTTTCAAAAGCTTCTGTTTTAGAAAAAAATTAAAAAAATTTATTTGTGTTGTAAATTTTTTATTTTATTTTTCCTCTTTTAACTTTTTTGAATTTTGAGAATTGCCTTTTAAATTTAAAAAAGGTGAAGTTCTGAAATCACAAGCACGTAAAGTTGTGCACAATGTGTTTGAGTTTTTTGCTAATGAAGCTAAGGAAAAGGCCCTTAAATTACCTCTCCATCAACCATCTGATAGAGCATGTCTGGCTACTGGAGTGTCAGACTTCACACTCAGAAAAATAAAAAGAGAAGTTTCTTGTTTAGGAGAAGAAGGTGTGTTGCGCACTCCCGGATATTTTTTTCTTGGAAAAGATAGAATTTGAGAACTTTTCTTTCACATTCATCACCCCATCCCAACAAAAGAACCCTTCATATTTTTGTAACAAGAGAAATTATTGAAAGAGCTGTTGCAGCAAAATGTTTAAGCAATCAATTTTGTTGTTGTTGTCCCTGCTTATTCCTGTCATTAATGTTAGTGTAAAAGTCAGCGAAAAGAATGGGTAAAAAGGGGCATAGACTCAGGGCACCAAAAGGAATATATTTCTAGTGAAAATAAGATTTTCTCATGGAACTTACAAAAGAGATGACACATTTCTCATCAGTGGTCAGTAACAGAGGGACTAAGGCTTACAGGCACCCTGCAGTTCATAATAAAGAGTATCCTTCTTATTGTACTATTCATAAATGTCAAACTCCTGTTTAGAGAATGAATATTTATTTTTACACATGTTCAGACCTTTTGAAGAAAAACCCCTTTGATGTTTTCCCTGGCCTTCAAATGGTTTTAAAAGAGATACCGTGTTTTTACAAAAGAAGCATAAGTAACGAAAATTTTCAAAATTTCAGGAATTCTTTCATTAATTATTAAATTTAATAGCTTGAATAAATTGTTCCTTTTTATGTTTCAGCTCTCTTCTGATTTTCATCGATGCCATTTGTCCAAATACAATGACAAATTGAAATTGTTATTTCTATGAATAACGATTGATAAATAGGATATGTATGGAAATTGTATAAAATTGTTTAAAGCAGCTCAATGTTTTATTAATAAATAACTCATCTATAAATTTATCATACATAGTAAATTGGTTATTAAGAAAAAAATAAATTTGCTAATAAAAACTGTTTTTAATAAATAGTGAAAAAAAACTGTACAGGTTACAATAAAATATGAATAAGAAAACGTAATTTAAGCAAAAAAAACTTCAGATAATTTCAGATGGTTTGATGGGTGCTGATAAAAATCATTGTTGACAGTTTTAGATTTCATCCTAGTTGCGGTCACTTGCTTTCAGTTTAAAAAATAAATAAATAAAATATTTAAAAATTAATAATCAAAACAAAGATATTTAATATTTCTCCGCCACAGATAACGTGATCTATTTTTATTTTCAGCAAAAGTTTTATCTCCTTTTAAAATCAGAGTTATTAAGTTTAAGTTAACTCTCACTTTTTCCAGAAAATTCAAGTAATAAAAGAAATTAACTGCTTTAAAAAATGTGCATGTTTAGAAATTAAACCATCTAACAATCAATGAACATTCATAATAAATATCGTAAAATTAAAAAGTAATATTAAAAAAACCTGTACTACCCTTAATGTCAGAATTTGTTCACTTTTTTTCCTTTGTATTTAAAAAATAACAACTGATTGGATCGAGAGAATTATTTTAAGTAAGAAAGAAATATTCATGCGAATCTTAAAAAAGTTCTTGAATCTGATTAAATAAGTCTCCTACTGGTGGCTGAGTCAGCCAATCTGGTATACTCCCCATACAAGCTATCATCGAAGGCGAAAGTAAAGGAGACCTCTTCATCGAAGCCACCCTCCCTAAAATGCTCTCTTCTTGTTTCCATAGCACCAGACTGCCGCAGACTTTGTGGCGGACAGAGTACCTATCGTAGACAAACAGTATCTCAGGCAAAGTTTGGTCTTTTCATGAAAAAACCCACATTTGTTGGGTATTTTTTTCTTCTTAAAAATTCGGGCTCTGGCGTTCTGTCCATGATTTAGAAAAAAACTTTTTCGAATTATTATTGTCAACTCATGAACTGAGTTTAAGGAATTGCTTTTAAATGAAATTCAAAATGTTTATGCAGTTAAGAAGAATTTTGCAAAAAAAAGTTGTTAGATTGTTGAAACAAAATTATTTATTGCACTCTAAATAGTAGATCAAACACTAGTTGTTTTTCACACTAGTTCTTTATATATTTTTTTTCTTTCATTTCTCTGTATTGTACCTTTATGCACTTAATGCTGGGTACAAGTTGAAGTATGTCCTCAAATAAATGCAATTTTTTTTAATGATTTAATTATTATGAGTAAATACTGAATAAGGTATTTTTTTATCCTTTTACTTTAATATTCCCTTTAAGTGTCTAAAACATTTTTAAAAGGTGAAAATTTTATGTGTGAAATCATTGTACACTTAATAATTACATATATCAATAAATATTTGATACTTTTACTTTAGTTTACTTTTATTTTTTTACTTTAAATTATTAAAGGAAGATAATATTACTGGAAAAGATAAATAACTTTTGAAGCTGCACAATTCACCTAATAACAAAAGTGTATACCTTATCCTTTTAATACTGATAAATTATGTTTTTGAATGCAATATTAAAAATTATAATAAACTTTTTTAATAAAACATAAACTTGTCTTCATTTTGTTTCTTGTTCAAAAATTTACCTTTTATTTTTCACATTTTTTTAAAATTGTGACATAATTTAAACAAAAGGATTTTGAACAGGAAGGTTTAAACTGTGGATTAATCTATTCTGTCCTAAACCTTGCCAACTCTGGTTCAAGTTGTATTATTGACTATGAATCCTAAATCCTATTGTCTACATTTCATTTATGCATGAAATATAAGTTAGTTGTTTTTTATTATTATTTTTTTTTAATCTGTTAGTTGGAACCTTTTATTTTCTGTGCACATGTGAAGGTATTTTGTTAATGTTATTTTACAAGTCTGTTGTTGAGAAACATTTTATATTAGGTTATTTCTTTTCAGGAACAATATCAAAGAGAGATGAACTTTCCCCGTGGACGTGGTAGAGGGAGAGGAAAAGGGCGAGGAAGAGGACGTGGAGGGAGATGGGTATGTTAATCATACTCTATAAAATGAAATAATATCTGTATTAATAATATCTATTCCAATATTTTTCAAGTTGTGAAAAAATATTTGATTTTTATTAACCCTACTTGTTTTGCTTTCATATACACTTTGCTAAACTAGCTCATATCCTTAAATTTTTTAAACTTACAAATGACTTTTGGCTGGTTTTAAATAAAACTAAACAACAGGTACATTTTAAAAATTTAAAGTCTTGAAAAATAGGAGACTTCTTAAATGTAACTTGAAGCTCGAACAATGGCGCAAAAAAAAAGTTGTGGGGGTGGGGTTTAAAAAGTTTCAATTTAATTTTTATCACATTTTATTAAAAGCTGATCTAAAATAATTTATTCATTTCTTAACAATCAATGTAACAGCTAACTTTCTGATTCAATGCAAATCGTTAATTCACTATTTCCAACATCAACATTTAATTTTAATTCTATATTTCTTAGGCTGCTTTATTTCACTAACCAAAAGAATTTTACAGTTACAATAAACAGTGAGAGTTTAATATAAACTCTCACTGTCATCTTTGGTGATTAAGCTCTGTAACCAGATTATATAAAATTAAATATTGATGTGAGATTGGCTTTGTTTTTGGCTATTTATCTTTTCATAAATCACCAACTTTGGATATCTTACCATTATCCTAAGTGTCCATTTGTAATTCTTCAGTCACTGGTAATGTGAAATTCTTGGTGTTAGGACTGAGGTTATGGGTGCCAAAGAGCCCTTCAACCTGACTATTTATAGCTACAATTGTCATATAAAAATAGTTCTTTTCATCTTAATTTAGGGCAGACATGCCAACTGCTCCGGTTTGACTGGAATTTCTTCGATTTGCAATGTTATCTCCGCTCGCTCCACTTAACCCTCGAATACTCCGCTTTTTTACGCTCTAGCAAACCCTGGAAAAAACTTGCTCTATAGCGAACTACGTAGGCATTCCTCTCTCATAGAAAAAATACATGCATGTGCAAAAGGGTGGGACAGCGGAGCGATCTCCTGTGAAGAAGCTTTCAAGGAAAGGAAGACTCAAATTCGAGATTCGGGGATCATGATAACATTGTATTAATAATTATTTACAATTTTGAGAAATCACATAAAAATGGTTTTAAAAAAAAAAAAGAAGAATGACGTAAGGAAAAAGATCATTAAACGATGCGAATCTATGTCGAATCATTATGAAATGCATGGTTAAATGTGACACCTTGATATTCAAAACTCAAATATCATAATAACATGGTATAAAAAACAAACATTTGACAACTGGCAAAATTGTTGAAAAAATCAAGAGATTAGTGGTGAAAAAAATTTTTGAAAAATGTGACTGTGCAATGGAATCGTTGCGAACCGAGAGCTATTCAAAAAATGCTAACTTGAATTAAATTCATGTATTGTATTAGAATCGTTAACATACTATGAAAAACAATAAATAAAAAGGCAGGAAACTATGCAAATTTATGTTTAATCATTGTGAATTGAGCATGACTCAAATTTGAAATTTGCTTGTTGCAATAGTATTGAGATTTGAAAAATATGCAAGGAAATGGCTAAAAAAACTAAAAAAAATATGTATTCGTTGCTAACAGTTTTTCATTAAGGGCATTTTTTTTTTTTTTTTTTTTTGGAAACTATATTGATTTTTCTATAATGAGTACGGTTTTTAGAGGTTTCCTTCTTTTAAAAAATCTGGTTTTTTAAGGTTGTACTGTATTCTCTAAATAAACAATATTCAAAAAGCTTGTTGCAGGGATGAGATTTTTCCGCTTTTTAGCGGATTTCCGTTTTTTTCACTTTTATCTCTTGAATTTCAGTTTTTTTAATCAAAAATTCAGATTTTTTGAAAAATTTTACTTTTTTTTATAAGTATTCCGTTTTTTCAGAAAATTCAAACTACATAGCTACCAATCCTTTCTCATTTTTACTTATTATAGCTATTTTCTCCCCTTTTACTCGCAGCAGATTTCCGAATTTTTTACCCAGATAGATTCGATTTTTGTAGTTCAAACGACGCTGCTTCTGACAAGCCTTTTAGAGGTCCCAAGCCTGGAATCTGCTAATATCTCGATTCTTATTCACACGATTTTAATATCAAACATAGCTTTTCATATTTGCGTGTTGCGATTCTTATTCACGCGATTTGAATATTGTACGTTGCGATTCTTATTTACGAGATTTAAAAATCCGATATTGTGATTCGTATTTACGCCTTTTTAAAAACCTATGTAGCGATTCGTATTCACGCAAGTTTAAAATTCAATGTCTTGATTTGCTCATGCGGTTTATAATATCAAACATTGATTTTCGTATTTATACGTGATTTTAAAATAAGGCATTGGGATTCGCATTCACGCATTCTAAAAATTATGCATCATTCTTATTTATGCAATCTAAAAATTATGCATCATGATTCGTATTTACGCGATCTAAAAATTATGAATCGTGATTTGTATTTACGCGTTTTAAAAATTCTATATCCCAGTTTGTATTTCCTCATTTTCAAAATCGTATATCTAGTTTCATATTCAATTGCAGGGTGCGTACAGACTCCTTATACTCCTTAGAAACTCCTTGGAAATAAAAAAGTCTCCAAGGAGTACTTGGAACTGCTTAGATTTCCAAATTAGTCCTTAGAAACTCCTTAGATTATTGCTTTGCATAGATGAACTTACTAAGTCCGCTGATGAATTTGCTGTCCAAGCTGGGAAACTGAATGATATGCAGTGGTGCAAGTGCTGCGCCGATCCGCGCCAATTGTGGAAACCTGCTTTTACATGCTCCAAATTGAAGTAGTTGGCTTAAATTGCTCCAAAAAGGATATCGTGACCCTGGGTATCGTGAAGTCACAATTTTACGGCAACCAAGCTACTGCCATGTGGGTTGCTCTGGATTCAGTGGGAAGGATTCTTGCAATTTCATGTGCTACTCAGCTTTATTTTACAAGATATTCTCAATTTCAGGCTTCATTTTCCACTCTCTGAAATGGAACCAAAACTTCTCTCGAATTTTCGGGCACCAACTAAACATTGCCAATTTTTAATAGCAAGAGAAAATTTTATTTCTCTTGTTAATTTCATAGTTATTGAAGTGCTGTCAACTTCGTCAATGGCAAGCTAATGGCCGTCTTGCGCTATTCTATCAATAGATTAGTACCATGATCTTTGAATTAATTTGAGGGACCATTCACTAAAAACATATTTTCATGTTGATCCTCAGACAGTCAAGAATCACAAGGCTTCATAAAGATAAAAATTAATTGAGTTTCTTAAACGTAATTTTTTTTATCTGAGGGACCATCCACTAATTGCATATTGTACTTTGATTATACTCAATTGATTTTTTTTTAAATAATATTTTTCTGTTTTTTACTTATTGCATTTTATTGTTGTATTATTACTTTCAAAATTTTCGGTGCTCTTAATTTGTTCAAGGAAAAAACTTAATAATATTTAGAGGCAAGCATGAAAGAGGGGCTTACAATGGTTTAAATGCAGCAAAAAATCTTATGTTTTTCAGATTTGTCATTCAAAAATACTTTAATTCATCTCTTAATGATTTAAAAATGATCTTTGATTTAAAACAATTGATGTAAAAAATTTTAATTATCACAGATTTGTGAAAGATTATGAGTGTAGGGACAATATAATAATTTACTTCTGACAAATTTTTTTAGCTTCAATACTCATTGAATTTGCATTAAAAAATTATTTAATTTTTTTTAATCATTTCATTAATGAAATACTGTACTAGGTAACCAATTTTAATAAAAATTTATTAGGGGCCATTCACTAATTTACATTTGTAATAAAGATTTATTAAAGTTTTCTTAATTTGCTTAATTCTTTACATATTTTTATGTAAAGAATTTCTTCTTGAATTACCTTTTACAGAATTAAATAGAGTAATTATTAATTTAGAAAATAGTATTAGCCACGCAATATTGAATTTATTTAAATTGCTTTTGCCAGAAGCTCTTTTTTTTTTTTTAAAGAAATATTTTGGCTATATTAAATTAATTTTTAGGTTTTTTCCAAACTGATACACCATTGATTCACTTGCTGTATGATGAAATGGTGTCTCTAGTTAAGGTATTGTTAGGGCGTTTTTTAAAGAGTTTTGCTTTTCTTAATTTGTCAGGAAAGGACTTAAAATCATTGGATGTAGAAAACGCAGATATTTGGCAAAATTCAAATTTAATAGATGTTGGACTAGATACCACAAATGTGATGACATCTTTATCTTCAGAAAAAAATTCTATGTATTTAGGTGCCAGGTCTATGGCGTGTGCAAAAAAGTTATTAAAAGCATTGCCTCTTGAAAATAGGTTACTGTTCCATCTTAAAGTGTTGCATCCTGTAATGAGAATGGAAGACACTTCTATTAAGGCATCTTTATTACTAGATGAATGGATGAGGTTACATAGAAAACCAGAAGGTTATTCTTCTGACTGAAATGAATATGCACCAATTAATGTTTTGGAAAAACTATTTTGGTTAAGAAAGAAAATTTGAGAAATATCAAATATCCTCTTTTAGCAAAGCTTTTTAAATCTCTTTTGTGCATACCACATGGGAATGCCGATGTTGAAAGAAGTTTTAGTGTGAACAAAAAGCTACTTGACAATAGGGCAAGTTTAAATTCACATAGTATTAATGGTTTGAGACAAGTTGTGTCACATATCAACAAAATAGGGGGTTTAAATAACTTTAAAGTT